AGTTACTTGTTGCACTTGTCACTTGTGGAACTCCCTCTTGGTTCCATGCTTTCCAACCAACTTTAAACTGCAAATATTGAATGTGATGTCAACTGCTATCTACTGTCCTCTTGATTGCTCTTTTCTTTTTTTTACTAATTTTTCTGTTTCTAATTCCTCCATACCCTGTAACCCTTTGCATGTTAGTGGCTGTACTGCCTTGCTTGGGGTGATAATTAAAAAAAAAAAAAAAAAGAATTTGATTTTACTCTGTATTTCCAGTTACAAGAATAAACTATATATAAAAAAGGAAAAAAAAAACTTGATATTAGATTTTTAATTTCTAGTTCTTTTTTAGGATTTATTTTTCTGTTTATTCACCCTAAGATATTAATTTACCCCCAAATAAAGTGAATATTTACTAAAATTCAGACCAAATTCACCCTGAGCAAGTTCTTTTCATTGCACTCCAGTTGGGTTGACCTTTCCAACTGCCCTAAATGTGGGTTATTCATGTGTACTATTTCTAAGTGTGGGGTCTCTGTTTGCATTCACCCTAATAAACAAGCCAAAAGCTTTTTCTTTTTTTTAAATTGTAAAAATTCCTCATAAGTACCTTCAATATCATCCATACTTATGAAATGTGAATAACTCCCTAAATTTTGGTAATTTTTCATTCTGAGGGTTGGTGTTGTTGTGAGGCAAGCTAAGTAAATTTTGATTTATAATTTCAAGAGAGTGCCAAAAATTTAATATAAAAATAAACTTTTAATTTAAAATTTATAATTTCTTGGTGAATTAATATTTGCAATAGGTAACTACATTATCTGGGGTGAATTAACAGAAAAGATCCCTTTGATAGGTTCAGTCATGAAATTTATATTTGATTGAATAGTCTTTTTTTTTTTTTTTTTTTTTTTTTTTTTTGTTAAGGGATGTCTGTTTTTTTATTTTATTAATTATTTTTTTGACAATCCTGTGATTTATTGCTATTGCAAATCCTGTGATCCCCATGACCTATGATAGCAAAAATTTGACTTGGCTCAATATCCATGGAGGTCAGACCATAGTTTAAATTTTGCAACAGCCTGTCTTATTTAAACCTGATGGTATGAAATAACAGAAAAATACCAGTGGAAATTTAAATTGTCATTGCTTTAGAATTCAATTGTTTGCTTTATTTACATAATTCTCAAATGTCATACCATTAGAAATATGCCGACTTGTTCACTTCTTTCTCTTTTAACTACTCTTCTCCAATCTATTTTCTCTTTTTGTTTGTTGAGAACAAAAGCTATACTTGGTTCTGCACATCAGCATGAAGACAATTCAGAAGTAGTCGGGTAGAATAGTGTTTTTGAAGCTTGTAAATTCCTTAAGTCAATCTAGTTACTTGAGAAGATGTTGCTTTATACATTCGTTCATTGTACCAGGAGTTTTATATCTATTGATCCACTGCAAACAAGGGCTAAAAGAATAAAACAGAACAAAGCAGACTCTTAGGAAAAAAAAATGTGTGCAGGGTAATTTATATGTGAATAAGTAGATAGATAGATATACAGAGAAATATAAATAAATTTAATAATAAAATTCATTAATAAATGCTATTCATTTTGAGGTTCTTGATAAAATCTAAAGAAGGACCTGCAATGTTATCAATCCTGACTTGGCATCTCTACATCAGTCACTTTGCCACCAATATGGCATGGCTACACTTTCTTTTCTACAAATATTTTCATAGCAACTGCTCTGACAAAATTTTTTCCCTGATACCCCGACTACATGAATTTAAGTGTGCTACTAGACTGTCATCTAGGTCCCACCCGTTTACTGTTGAAATAGCTAAATGCAACTGACACTTCTACTCCAACAGTTTCTTTTCTCACTCTCGTCTGTGGATCTCCCTTCCATTTATTTGCTTCTAAGTACAATCTTCAAAAATTTAAATGCAATGTAAATTGTCTTCTATCTTGAATCTCATTCATATTTTGTCCTTTCCTCTATCCTCCCTGTACTCAGTCTTTTCTCACGCTTTCACTCCCTGAAACCCGTGGCATTTCCTACCTTGCTTGGAGTGAAATGATTAAAAAAAAAAAAAATGTAAGAAAAATATTTTAGTTTACTATAAACTGTCAGCTGTATTCTCAGATCAATGATTAAAAATGGCTTTGAGCAAACGGTATATGTAGGTCTTAGCAAGGATCACCCTTCTTCAAACTTTGTAAACTGGTGCTGCAGAATCACAAAGAACTGTGCTAAATAACGGCAACACTTGAGGACTTTCAACAGTAACAATGATTAAAATAGATAGCAAATGTAAGTGAAAATAACATAATCAAGATGTTGATGTTTCACACTACTTCAAATAAAAGGTTAAGAAGGAAGCTCCCTATTAATACTTGAAAGAGTGATAACAGTGCACATGAGAAACCTATTTTCATAAAAAATTATTTTACAAGATCTTTATAAATTTCAACTGGAAGTAGCACTGGCTACTTGGTCAATGAATGTCAAATGTTTCTTTATGAGAAAATAGTTATTAACATTTCCATTGTTTTGAAAATACTCTGGTTAAAGGCAAGTGTGTAAAATATTGATGGTGCAAAATGACTGACAATAACTACTATTGTCTTAAGATATTTTATGGGTAGGAATTTAGGTCGAGTTTGCTCATTTTCCTTTACTGATAATATAATTGTTATATAAGCAATTAAAACTCATAGATTTAAGATGGAAGAGAAGGCCACACAGATAAGACCAACAAAGATTTGTGCAGAAAATCCTCCTCTCTCCAACTTCATTGGGGTCTGTTATATCATAGAAATATTTTCATGAACTAGTGATTACCCATTAAAAAATTAAGTTGAATATTCATAAGTGTCTGCACACACAAACATATACATACATATATATATATATATATATATATATATATATATATAATCTGTGTGTTTAGACTAGTTGGCTTTTGTTTATCTTGCAAAATGAAGGTACTGCATGTTTTGGTCAAAATTCAGTCTTTTGGTGGTGTGACTAATGTTCTCTTCAGGATGCAGGAATATGGAAGCTGTGGAACTGTCCAGACTATCCAAATACATGGCTTTACGTTTGGGGCTGGTTGGCTGCAGGAGTTTGCAGTCAACTGCCTTTGGGGCTACACCTCGGGTTTCCTGCTTGGATTTACTTCCATATCCTTTTATACATACATTATATATGTTCCAAAGGTTATCATGGCTTTGGATGATAGTGGGGACAAGCTCCCATTGTCTATAAAATTCTTCTATAGCCTACATCTCAAATAGCCTCTGACAACTAAGTCCAGCTCCACGTCTGAGAATGGTCGAAGGTGAACATCTGGCACTTCCTAACAGGCTGCTTCAGGTAGATGGAGTTTGACAACCTAGGACAGAAGTCCATTTAAGGGAAGGAAAATCCTGTTTATTAACCTCTGCTGGCTTGTAGTCATATTTTTTAGACTAATAATGGATTTAGTGATGATATATCTATCTAAAGACATGCAATATACATTGAATCTGGATATTACTTTTGATTCAGCCTGTCTGTTTGGCAGTTTCTAAATGATCCATTTCTCAAAAATAGTAATGGAAAATTGATTTCAGATCAGTCATGGGTATCTGTTTTGTCAAATTTGTATTTGAAACTATTAGATCATTGCTAAAGTTTGTGCATGATTAGAAAATTAAAAACAAATTTTACAAGCTTACAAAAAAAAAAAATACATTTATTAGTCAAGTACACAGTCTCCATTGTTTTCAACAACAGTCCCTCATCATACTACAAGCTTGTTGATGCCATTTTCATAGAAACTGTTTTTTTTTTGCTGGAAGAAAGTTGTGAGATAGTTTTAGGTTAACTGGACAAACTTTTTGTCCTTTAAATTGTTTCTGTAGAGACCAGAACAAATGAAAATCTAAAGGAGCCAAATCAGGAGAATATGAGTGCTGGAGGGTGGGATCCCATTTCAACTCTTTAAACTTTTGCAAGGTCTGTTTTGCAACATGTGGTCTTGCATTGTCATGGTGGAAAATGACACCTTTCCAATTTGCCAAAATCGCCCATTTTTCTTGAAGAGCTACATTGAGATTGGTGAGTTGGCTGCACTACTTTTTTGCAGTTATTATTTTGCTGGCTAGAAGAAGCTCAAAGTGAATTATCCCTCTGTAATCCCACCAAGCGAACAGCGAAACCCCTTTATTAGATGCAAGCCCACTTCAATCACACTTTCTGCACAGTCACAAGCTTGTTTTCAACTGTACGTCAAATGTTATCACACACAACACACACAACACATTTTTCATCACCTGTGACAATTCTGTCCCAGAATGGCTCCTTTTTGTGGTATAATGGCAAAGAAATTGCTACAGAAACATTATTAAACTTGTTCTGTTCTGTCAGAGAATGTGGCACCTATGTGCTGAGTTTAGAAACTAACCAAAGTCTCTTCAAATAGTGGAACGCAGTTAAAATATCATTTTTTTTTTCTTATTTTCAAACTCTTAGCAATCTCTTCCATTGAAATCTTTGGTTTATTCTCCATGATGTCAGAAGGTCACTGGAGTGTGGTTGATCATTTAGTTTAAAATCACTCTGACAAAATCTGCCAAACCACTTTTGACCATCTGAAGAGTTGGAAAATGATCAAAATAAACCTTCTGATTGTTTTTTTGTCACAGATCCGATGCTTACTTCTTTCTAAAATTCATAGAACATAATATGGCAAAAAATGCAACTTTTCATCCTCCATCTTCTAAGTCATTTTTTTGTGAACAAAACATCGACATTCTGACTCCCAACTAAATGATACAAAGTTTCAATCAAACACACCTGTGTCAAGTTGCAGTCATTTTATATTGATATTGAATAATCAAGCACAAAATTTTGCACTGATCTGATATATACACAGTAGTTGAATTGATCACTTATCAGAAATGTCTTGAACTTGTCCTTACCTGCATTTGTATTAAATATATCTTCTTTTTTTTCCTCTTTGGTACTTATAGGCTCAGTATGAAGATTATCGATGCAAATGTGTGTGTCCTTCACAGACTGTTGTTAATGCTTCAGAAACAGGCAGGAAAGTTTACATCAGAAAGGTCAATCCTAATCAATGGTAAGTAAGCGAAAAAAAAATTTTTTTTTTTTTTTTCCCCAACAAAACCATTTAGATAACTACAAGATTTAAACTTGTATATGTATCTATAATCTGAGAAAATTTGGTTCCATTGTAATTTCATCTCCACAATGAAAATGTAAATTTTGTGTTTAAACTTCAAAGTCCAACAGACATTTGTAAGCATAGTTTTTTTTTTTTTTTTTTTTTACAAATTTTCACTGCTGTACTTATGTCTTTACAACACTTACATTGCCTGCTGTTAATGTACACGTACATTTTCAAGACACTGAAATGTGGATTCCTGTTATTTGTGTTATAAGCTAACTAGGACTGTCACCTACAATCTTGAAAATTTAAATGCAATGCCAATCACCATCTTCTGTCTTTCTAAACCCTATTCTTTTATTGTCTTTTGTCTTTGCTAAAGACTTCTTATCGTTTTTCACTCCCAGTAACCCTTTACAGCCTAGTGGCATTATCAGCTTGCTTGAGGGGAAATGATAAAAAAATCATGTTTGTACAGTCATCTCTGTTGTAATGGTAGAAATATGACAACACCTCAATATTTGGTGGTTGATGACCCACATTTTATTGATGAACACCATTTTATTCAACCATAGAATTAAGAGAGATCAAATAAGAATATTTATTGTTCGGTCTATCATCCTTATCTTTGTTGCCATATTTATCACAATGTTTCGGCCGTTGTATGCTCATGCCTTCTTCAGGTGTTTGGAATGTCAAACTGAACCCTTTATTTCACTCGCTGGGCTAGACTTCTAGTTCCACGTGCCATGTCTAATGGATGTCAGTTATCAGTTATCTCCTGTTAATTCACCTCTTTAAGTTCTCCACTGCCTTAACCAGGTATTGAACTCACACTATTTGGGTCCTGTCACTGGATCTAACTAACACATTTATCCACTGTACCATGTGTCAGACAAATAAGACTGTTTTCATATTTTAAATTATCTGACTATACAAGATGAAGTCTCCCCCGTGTTGAAGCACTGGGTCCTCTAAAAGCAAAAAAAGAAAACCTGTGCACAAAAATGTTGCAAACAAACATTTACTGGATTTTTTTTTTTTTTTTTATGAATTCTCTTGTTACATTGAAATATTTTCATTTTTTTCTAAACCATAAAAAAAAATGAAACGACTTTTCAGCAAAAACATTTATATATTTACAAGAGTTAAACTTGTATATGTATCTATAGTCTGAAAAAAATTGGTTCCATTGTAATTTAATCTCCACAAGGAAAATATAAATTGTGTTTTAACTTCAAAGTCCAACAGACATTTGTAAGCTTAAATATTTTTTTCACACTTCCACAGTGTGAATGTACTTATGTCATTACAAAACTTACATTGCCTGTTGTCATTGAACACATACATTTTCAAGACACTTTGAAATGTTGGTCTCTATCATTCGCATTATAAGTTAACTAGCATTTAGTGCTATTTCCACACCAGCATTGGCATGTAGTAACATATAATACAGTCTATTTCCTGACATTATTTTGTGTTCAGGGTATTTAGGTTTGTCCATACTGCAGAGTATCTTACTGAAACTAAAATGGAAGCACCCATGAGAATTCACTATCAGGGTTTTAGTAGTCATTTAATTTTTTTTTAACTAATGTTCATTCAATAGAAAGCCGAGGTAGAGGGTTACTGTGTGGAACCTAGCAAAGAACAAGCATTAGGAGTATAGAGCTGAAGTAGACTTTAGAAGGAACCAGAAACCCAACCCTAAACAGGAAACAAGGGATAAACTTCTATTCTTGTTCAAAAAATTGGGAAGGAGTGTGAACTGGACAATAGGTGAACCTATTTGTTACTATTTTCCAGAAAATATCAATTTCCTATTTTTTCCAAAAAAGGCCAGCGCTGTCAGGAAACAATGTAGTAGTTACAAGGTTAAACAGTGGCAAAGTCTTTTTAGACTGGTACTGTTTAGTATGACAATGAAAGGTAAAAATGAAAAGGTTAGAAGTAATTTGTTTTACTTCCAGGTAATCCTGTTCTAACATTCAAATGAGAGCCACCTCCTCATTCAAAATGGCTGCTTTATATAGTTACAAAACAAGAACTATAATTTTTGTTGTTAACAAAGAACTAACACCTATTGTTGACATGTTTTTTTTTTTTTTTTTTTTTAAATACAAGATTTCATAATCCTGACTTGATTATTTCTAATAATTTGGTGCTAGATGCGTCATGTTTGGTTAGGTTGTCATAAATTTGACATGAAGTATCAATCTAATTAATACTGGAGATTTCTATTCTTTTTAAGATTTGCTTTGCTTAATACATGCCATGTCCACTCACAGGTTTAATAGCAGAACATTAGATATGGAATGGATAGGGAAAGAGATGTACATATTTGATGCTTGGACTATCAAATGCAGTATTAACAGGTTTTATAATTGCCAGTGATCACTGTTGTAATAGTAAGAGTACAACACCACCTCCAATATTTGGTGGTTGATGAGTCACATTTTATTGATGAGCCACATTTTATTCAAGTATGAGATTGAGAGAGGTCAAATAAGATAGTTTTCATATTTTAAATTATCTGACTCCCTCTACATTGAAACACTGGGGTCCTCAAAAAGCAGAAAGAGAGAAACTGTGCACAAAAATGTTTAGGGAAAACATTTACTGTTTGTTTGTTTTTATGCATTCTCTGGCTAAATCTACATCAGCACTTAGTCATGTGATTTTACATTAGTCATGTCTTTTGATTCAAATTATTATTAAGATAGATAGGGATTTTTTTTTTCTCTCACTCTTTCCTCAACACCCAATTTTGCTGAATATTAAAATCTTGAGGTGTGAAGGAAAATAAAAAGCAATGACTGAAATGATGCAAAAATATTATTTTATTTGTCCCGATCACATTGCTAAATGAAATGTGTTTTGGAAATTAAATGCTTATGGGGTGTGGTGAAAAGCAACCATAGTTGTTTCCTCTTTGAACTACTAAACTATAAAAGAAATGATTGAACCTGGGCAGTAGTCAAATTGCATTGAATAAAGCTTCACTGTGAGGTTAAATTTTTCTCCGTTTTTCTTAACAGGGAAAATTTTCTATCTTTGAAATAAATTATTTCTTATCAATTTATTCCATTTTGATATTGGTTTACTTGTTAAATGGTGATATATACTCAGATTCTATTATGTAAGTTATTGTTTTTGCAATAAAATCAGTATTAATCAACTGATGTTGGTAAAATTTTCAGGATATATTTATATGAACAATATACCATGAGGTTCATCTCCATAAAATCTATTATAAAAATTATTGATAATCTTTTCTTTTTCTTTAATCATTGCACCTTAAGTGAGGCAATAATGCCACTAAGATGCAAGGGGTTACTGTGAGTGAAAGAGAATGAGGAGTCTTTAAGAGGAGGAACTGGAAATAAGCCTTTACTCCCATTCAAAAAACAGGGAAGGAGTGTGAACCGGATGTTAAGTGAACATATCTACTAACCTATTTATGTGTCAGGTTTTATTACACAATTTTTAAAAACATAAGCAACTTGTTTATAAGTAATTCTATTCAAATTTGAGTAAATATTAAGCAGTGCTTATGTCAGTGTGGTTTCACCAACTAAAAAAAAAAAACAAAAATCAAAAGAAAAACATGAAATTAAACAGTTAGTAAATTTATTTTTATACTATATTGAAGAATTCTACAAATTCTACTAGTTCAGTTACATTGAAATATCTTTATTTTTTCTAAACCATAAAAAATCTAAATAACTAAAAATGAAGTAATCCAAGTACTGGTCAAAATCCTAAATTGCTTATAAAAACAATTGTGCATCCAAGCTAATTACAACAAATATTTATTTATACATAAATCTAAAAGATATAGGCCATTCAAACATATTTTTTAATAACACTATGCCATGTACTTGAATAAATGATTTTAGACTCCTTGACATTTTATAACCTTCATTTACCTTTCAATCACTGATTTTTAACTTTTCTACTGTTTTTTAATGCTTCTCTCTTAAGAATTGATCATGAATTTTCTATTGAAATAATATTCAAAAAGGTTGGGAGTTATTCCATTAATTTGCTGCCTTTGAAACTTTTTATGGCAAGGTGGGCAATCTTCATCTTTGCAGAATATGAAAAAGTATTGTTTTGCATGAATACATAATACACTTCATCTTAAAGCCTATTGGTTGTAACCTGTACTATTAAGAAAAAGAATATCATGTCCAAGAAATTATAATAATTTTCTGCATTTATCAATATCATCAACTTTGAAGTTTATAAATTTACTACCTACAATATTACTATCTATCCTATTTGTGGTCTTCTAAATTGTGTTGGCTGTTTTTATGAAGGATACGACTGCAAGCCTACTGATCAGGCTATTCAATCTAGTTCTACATTTATCACAAAAACATTAGTAAAATAAGTTTACCTTTTACTTTGCATAACTTGTTTCATTTGTGATGTTTAATAGGCTTTCATTTTTATTTTTACTTTAATTCTATATTTTATATATTTGACTGTAATATATTAAGGTGAGGATGATACCAGAAATAGCAGTAGTTAGGAGATTGTAGGATACCATCAACAATGATGATGATAGATGTTTTGTTGGAACATACCTATTCTATAGTTAATAGACTCTCCCACCTATAATAAGTAGAAGTAGTAAGAGTAACCAGTCAGTCAGTAGATATCAGACGACAGTTAATCGAATACTAAAGTATCAGCGACCACAACTAGATTACTCTGCGTTATACCTATTATATCAAGTTCCTAACGTTTTGTACGTCGAACCTATTTTATGACCAACTTAGTACAAACACAAGCCTCCGCTGTGAAAACACTCCACAACAATTGTGCAATTATTTGAAATGAACCCTATTTCCAACACAAGTTACATGCCCACATACATGCCATATTAAAACACGCCCAAACTTTATTTTCTACTTAATAACAGATAATATTTACAAACATGTCAAAAAGATTCCACAATACATGCATACAATATCTAAATCAGTGTTTATTGGTTAGAAATTAACATCATCATCTGAAATATTTGACCAAACCCTATTTTTCTCAAGTCTACTCTTTGGAAAAATGTCTTTTAAAAAGCTACAAATTTTAGCTTTTAGCAGCAGAGGTGCGACTCTCCAAGCTGTTAAAGCACAAGAGAAGATGTGGCTACATAGCCCCCTCCCCCCAGCATGGGCTGAAAAGAAATATGTCAGTAAATTCAAATGGATCATCTCCAACAGCAACAGTTTGGATGGACAGTGAATCTTCACTGATGATCAGTCTTTTCTAAACCACACCTTTTCCTGTGTAATAACTATCCAAAGACTTTTGTGTTATAAACTAACTAGTGCTTAGTGCTATTTCCTCAATGACATATAGTAACATACGATACAACCCCTTTTGTCATTTATTTTTATAATATTGTGTGTTAGTGCTGTTTAACTTAGTCTGCAGTGTAGATTATCTGATTGAAACTAAAATGGCAATAGTGTTTAAAAATTGTCATCACTGTCTTGATAGAGATTTATTTCCATTAAATGACTATTTTTGCCAAAATGGGTTACTTGCATAGCCAGGCAACAATGCATTAGTGAAAGTGTTAAACGTAACTTACTAAATTTCAATAATTGTTAAACTAAAGTAGCTATCCAAGGTAAATATTAATGATTGAACTCTATGAAGGTTGTCAATGAGATTAATGGATTTTGATACAAAATAATTGTGGGTGTGTAGTCAGCTGAAGTGCTATCATACCAATGTTTTTTCTATCAACCATTGTGGCATGCCAGTAATGAAATATTTTGTCAACATAACTAGCAACAGGACAATGTGGGGACACATGACATTTCTAAGAATTAGTGTGAAATGGACACAATTTAAGCTAATGCTGCTCACAAATTCCTTTACATGTAGAACATATCATAAAGAAGCCTTTTTTTTTCTTTTTCTCCAGTAAATGTGAAGATGTAGTTCGACCATTGCCAGAAAAAGCCACAGAATTTTGTCCCAGATGCGAATGCAAGTACCAGAGCAGAAATACAACTTTGATAAAGGTAAGAATATTTATCTCCCAGAACTAATCATAGTTGGTAGTACCTGTATTACTCGACTGCAAAAAATTTCTTATTTAATAAAGCATATTTGGTAGTACCCACCAACTTTACATGTAATATTACTGTATTTCACTGCTTCTAAAAACACTCTGATGCAAAAAAGATTTTGAAGGAAGAAATCTAAAAAAAAATCTTTTTTCTTGTACTTCCCCTCCCAACTATCCCCAATTTTACCCACTGAATACTGACTAATGACATTCATCACAGACTAAGAAGTAGTACCAAATTTATGGTAACTATTTAGAATGTAATAATTAGGAGAGAAATTAATTCCCATCACCAACTTTCAATTTATAGGATGCAGAGTGGTTTTTGGAGAGATTTTATAGGGGAAAAATATGGCTTGGTATGGCTACTGGAGTCTCTTATCAATTTCAACATATGAGAGCCTAACAGTTTAGCTTTTAGAACTGGACCATCAAACTACCAACATATACATTTTTTTTTTTATTATAGTAATAAGCCACATTTTTCAGAAAATCTGGTGACACCTAAATTGTGCACAATGTACCATATTGCCTCCCCAAAAATTTGTATTTGGAATTAACCTTCTCCTAGACTGGCTGACAATCAAGGCTAGAGAACCAAGTCTATGAAGCTATTTGTCACATAACTGGAGAGAGTTTCTTAAGGGTATTTCTGCAAAATAGAATGTAACAAAGTTGGCCAGAATTTGGATATGGTTTACCAATTTCTCTTGCTTGAGCCACTGTTACATTACTCACACACACACACACAGACAGAGATAGAGGAAAAAGCATGTGAAAAGTGAAGAAATAAATAATGTTCAAACATGGCTCTACAAATTTAAATAAATTGAGTATTTTTCTTTCAAATTGAAAGAAACGAATTAAAAAGATCCTTGCAAAACAAATTCACACAAAAATATTTTTGTTTTCCTTTCTGTCATGTACTTAGTTTGTTTTATGAATGTGTATAATTTTCTAGCAGTTGGCAGATGGGAAAGACTGTATTATAACTACTGATAACATTTTGTTTACAAAACTCTGTATGTTTCACATGTGCTTAATTTACTTTAAAATCACTAGGCTTTGTAAGAACTTGAATAAAATGTGTGAAAAGGGTAAGTAATTAATTATATGAAAGTTTTAAGAATCCAGCTTGTGCACAACAATGAACACCCAACCCTTGTCAAAGTTTTATGGAAAAACTGAATACTAACTTAACACCACAAATATTTATAAAATATAGATAGGCTTGAAGAAGGTAAAAATTAGCTTACTAAGCTCAGAAGCTTATTGGTTAATAAATATATTTCCCAATTTTTAAATATCCTTTTTTTAGGAGGGAAAATATTGTTGGTCATTTCCTGGAGAGATCCCTCAAATTTTGTAGCAGACAACAAACATGGTTGTTTAGTTTTTCAAAGCCTTCAGCACACTTGAAATAACATCGCTTATTGGTTTATATATGTGCATATGAAAATTCAAATTTGAGCCTATTTTATGCACAAAAATGAGTTGATTTTGAGCTTTAGTGATATTATGTAAATCTATTGAATTTTTCTACAATTTTAATGGGGTTCACACACACACACACACACACACACATATATATATATATATATATATATATATATATATATATATAAGCAGATTTTTTCTTCTTTTGATGGCCATGTTGGCCAAAACTAGTCAAGGAACCTAATTTAAATAAAACAAAAAATATTAATATACAACATGTGTGAATTTTCAATGTTTTTTATTATTTAAGACATAGACAGACATATATATATATATATATATATATATATATATATATATATATATATATATATATATATATATTTTTTCATAGTGCAGATACTATGCTTTGTTTCTAAGCATGGGGCCCAAGGAGTGCCACTTTGGTATTTAGCAAAGCACACAAATATTCTCAGTCCAAAGAAGTTCCAGTCAATACATAAATAATTTATCCATCATTTTATGGGTACTATGCTTGTTGGTTGCACTATGTGCATGGGTTCCTCTGACTTTTTTTTGTCTCCATTCAGTTCTATTGTTCATTACATTTGGCAAGTCAGAAGGATTTCAGTTTATGTCCTCACAAATCTGTTTGATATAGGTCTTGGCTTGTTCTTGTGTAGGCTCCCACAAAAGACCTTAATACTTAAAAAAGTTACTGTCATGCATCTAAAGGGATATTAGCCATGGTTGTGTAATCATCTAATGAAAGATACATTATAATTTTACTATGCTTAAATTACATGAATTATACTTTATAGATTTGCTTTCAAACAGCTAAATATTTGTTTTCTTTATCATTGATCAGAAAATGATTTAAGTGATATATTTTTGCATAGTTTTATAATTGGAAACATTTCTTTTTAATGCTTAACAAGATTTATTTCATGACCTAACCAATTATTACAGATAACCTGCTGTGTCTTTCATAGCATTTCTTTGGGAAATGCAATTACTTACTGGTGTCTGACTTCTTTCCACATAACAGGCTATACAAAGGTTTCATAGAACCAGCAACAGAAATTAATTATTGATGTGACCTTTTAGAAGTGGATTCATCCTTTTCCCAAGGGTATTAGTGTAATATGAACTCTAAACACCTCTGCTTGAATTTGAACTTTTGTAGATTACTTTTTTCAAGCTGTTAACCATTAAGAAAACTGTAAAGTTCAAATTTTTTATCTCCTCTATTGACAAGTATTTTCTTTGAGTGCATCAAAAGAATTTAATTTTTAATTGCCGAAGATTGTTAATGAAAAAGAAGACATACTTAATATGGTCACTCAGTAGTGATATAAAAACGTAACCAAAATTGTTTGATTTCATAAAAAAATTTTGATGCAGTTTCACAGTATGAAGATGAAATCGGAAAAAGTTGGTTTTTCAGTTAAACCATACATCTCTAATTTGTGCATTCTGAAATTCTGAAAATGTCACTCCTTAGCCATCTGATTCTTAGATTCTAAAATGGGATATCTGCACTGTGGAACATCTTGAGAGCTTCTGGACTCTTTTTTCTTTTTTTAAAGAATATGTAATGATTTCAATGATCTGATCTCAAGTGTTAAGAGTTGATTTCTCCTCTTGATCCTAGGGTTATCAAGAGGCATAATATACAGGCTGCGATGGATAAATTGTTGTCATTTCATATTTTAATTTTGTGCATGTATGTTGTTTACAGTATACAGGGTGGTCTGAAAGTCCGAAAAGTAATAAGGTCAATAGAACAAGTAATTCATTAATACAAAGCACATATACTGGATCTAGTTTATTCATTTTCATTGACACTGTTGCACATCGAGAAGGACTGTATGAACACAACCATTTTTGTGTAGGAGCTTGTCACCCATCTGAAACGGAAAATTATATTATGTAGAGGTGACAAGGCTTTCAGATACTCTGTAGCAGGGTCAGTTGGGCATCATCCGAGAGGAAAAGATGACCATGAAATCTGGAAATGGCATGCTGTACTGCTTGGCATTTATGCTGGAAGCTCCAATACAAACAATCTGAGGACAATGCAGAGGATGTGGAAAGAGTTGGATTAATCTAATTGTGATTATGAAGGTATGGCAGCTTTGAACCTGATTTCTGATCGTTCTGGTAAAAGAATTTGTTGGTGAGGGCCTCAGACTCAAAACGGAGGCCTACATTAAGTGCCTTGATGAGGTAGTGCTGTTGTGGGTCAAGAGGGTGGCTGCTGGAAGACTCTGTCTGGCAACAGGACTCTGCACCATGCTACACAAGCAGGAGAACCCAGTCATGGCTGTCAGACAATTTCTGCAACCACATTACCCCTTACATCTTGCTATCTAACTCTCCAGACTGTAACCCCCTTGATTATTATGTGTGGGGTACAGTTGAGCAAGAGATCAACAAAACTCCTTGTAACATCAAAGATGACATGAGGGCAAGGATTCTGGCAGCATTCATCAACTTAAACAAGGAAACCATCCATAAGAGTTGCAGGAGATTCCAAAGTCGTCCTGGGACCATGGTTGAAGCCAATGGCAATTTTATTCAATAAATTTACTCTTTCATATTTCAAGATATTTTTGTGCAATTTTGGTAAATATTAAATGAGATATTGGTGTTATTTTCATTTCTGTATAATTTAGACGACTATTTATCCATCGCACCCTGTAAAACAATATCTTTGCAGGAATGCTAAGTCTGGTTCTTTTAATTTGGTTATGGGGTCCCCCAATCTTACAACTGACCAATTTTTGATTCGCTATTCATCAAAAATCAAATGTAATCATCTTTGTTTTATTAAGACTTGTTTGTCTTTAATTTTTTCTATTCTTTGCATTAATGTCTTCTTTTTTTTTCCCAATTCTTTTCTCTTACAGATCATGGTCACTATTATCATCTGTATTGTCTCTCTGCTATTTGTCTACATGGTATTTTTGCTGTGTCTGGACCCGTTGCTTGTGAAGAAGCCAGGACGTTACACAGAGCAGACAAATGAGGAGGTGAATTTGGTAAACACTATGGCAGCTGATAATGAGGCCTTTTTCTTCTTACTAACTCCTTTCACTCTGCTATGGGCTGTTGGTGATCCCAAGGAGGGGGAAAGGAGCCATAGGCACTTGCTTTGGTTCGTGCTGTGATGCCCTAATAACCTTCGTTGGCTACCTACTTGAATGGTTGAAACAAGAAATTTATAGAGCTTAGTATTGAGCAGTTTAATCTAGTTATGGTCAAAGTTGTTAAAGCATAGAGTTAGTAATGAAGGGAGAAATTATTTTTTCTTAGTTGCAAGAAAATGTCATATTTAAATTTTGTTAGATAGACAGGATGCTATAATTATTATATGTGGTTTTTCTTTGTAATAATTTCCTTGTCTTGCATAATATACACTTTTTTTTTTTTTTTTTTTTTTTTGCAATTCACCTCAAGCAAGACAATAAAGCCATTAAGGCACCAGGAGTTACTAAGTGTGAGAGAATGAGAGAGAGAAAAAAAAAAAAGAAGCATTATTAAGGAGAGAGAACAATAGAAGAACCGGAATTAAGAAAATGGTAGATAATAATTGATATTGCATTTAAATTTTTGAAGATCAAAATTAACTGAAAAGCAAGAAGCTAAAAAGAGTTCCACAAGCGAGAAGTATGAGTGAAGAAACTGTTAACATAGAGCTTATGGTTACATTTATCAATTTCAACTGTAAAATAAGTCCTTGTTGTCGATCTAGTCAGTTATATGCCATATATGATACATGCTTAAGTGACTGTCTCTTTTGATTCATGATTGACTACGCTGAAGATTTTCTTGCAGAAGGTTGCCATTTGTTTCTGAAGAAGACTGGTCACCAGCCAAGGCTATAAGGCCCAGTCTGTCCTGCTATTCAACCCATTGCTGGGGGGAGAAAAACTGGATTCATAACTGTCCCAAGAGTATTTGTGTGTAAATGTGCTTAAATTTATAATGTCTAAGTGCTAAGGAGGAAATCTAATCGGAACAATTACCATGAAAATATTTATAGAAAAGGCACAGAGATGCTATGTTACAGCAGTTGGAAACTCTGTTTTTCTTTGGGTCTGGGTATATAACTGAAACAATATGGGGGGGGGGGGGTACAGTGAAGGCAAACAATTTAGTCCAAAAGGAAGTCACATACAATAATAGCAAGAAAAGTGTTAATGAAAAAGAAGACATACTTAAGTTTTTTTCTTTTCTTTCTTTTTTTTTTTTTTTTTTTTTTTTTTAAATAATATTTCTAAGTAAAACTATTTATCTAATTCATCTAAGTATTATACTAGTTGCTTTTGGCTTACAGCCATATCATGTTGAAATGCCAGTTCTTGTACAATAACTGAAGTTAAGCAACGTTAAGCCTGGAGAGTAACTAGATAGGTGACTGCTTGGGAAGACCAGGTGCTGTAAGCTTGGCTGTGTGGGTGGTATAGCTTATGGCCATATCATGTTGAAACATTGGTTCCTGTTCAATCACCAAAGTTAAGCAACATTGAACTTGGTCAGTAGCCAGGATGGGTGACTACTTGGGAATATCAGGTACTGTAAGCTTGGATGTGTGGGTGGTGCAATGAATAACAATTCTGAATTGGAAATCAGGGAGTCAAGCTCCAATTCCATTGGATTCATTATATTCGCTTACGTACAAATACCCTTTGGGGAAAGGTATGAATCCACCTTGTCTTCTACCAGCTATGTAGGACTTTTATCAGTAAATCATTATGACTTCCAACAAATTCTTACAATCTAAAAATATTTTTCTGGCTTTAAATAACCTACGAAAGGGTTGATAAGCTGTAAAAAAAACATACATAAACTCAATCTATTTCTGTTGTTCCATTTTAATTTAAGCCTTTTCCAGTTAAAGCTTGTGTGTCTGGCTCAGAGTTTTATTTGAAGTGAAGTATTTTTTAGGAAATGAGTGTCTTCTTTCATTAAAATATCTGAAAGTTTTCCAAAGCAGACAGTTGAAATTCAAGTAATTATTTTCTTACTTTAATAAAAGACAACATATACTACACTTTAATCTTGAGCAATCCCTAATGCAGTGGTTCTCAATCTTTTTTTCCCAGTGGATCCTTTTCACCATAAATCAGAATGTCAGGTCCAACTCAAACACTGCATTCCAAATAATACGTATATGTCACTGAAAATTTTCATTTTTTTTTTTTTTTTTTTTTTTTTACATATCAGTACATGTACATGAATTATTTTTATAGAGTTTTTGCAAATTTAACTGCAATAGAAAATGATGGATTTTGAAAATTGACTACATGTACAGTAATTTGTTTTAAATCATAACTAATTATTAAATAAAACTGAGCATAGGTCAATAAAGAAAAAAAATAAAAAAATCAATAGAGTGCCAGGCTATTGTAATTCAATAAGCAGAAAGTTCAATAAAATGTCAGGGTAATTAAATTGATTTTATTCTGATGAAGATTACAATCATGGGTTCCAAATTCTATAAATAAAATAAAAAAATAAAAAAAATTAAGGAAAAGTAACAAAATCCACACTCTTCTGGGAAACCTTGAACCCCAAAGGTTGAGAAACCCCTGTCCTCATGGGAAGACTTTGCAAAACACTGATCAGATAACTCTCTACTCTTTCTTTATTAAATTTTGTTTTATTAAAAAAAAAAAATTATTTTTTTAATTAGGTTAGTCAACAAATATTAGTGATTTTTAGAAGTTATTTTATCTTTAAATAGCTTTCTATAGTGGTGAGTGGGTTGGGTGTACTCATAATGACATTTGCTGTGTGATTATTTATAAATACACAGCAAACGTCATTATCAGTACACTCAACCAATTAGTTTTTAGTTGCTTTTGATTGAAACAACATTACTCGGAAAGCAAATAAAAAAAAATAAGATGAAAGTAAATACGAGTCAAAATGTATAATAATAGTTGACAATTCTTCATCTAATAAAAAAAAATGAAAGTAAAAATGAAATCTTACAATATTTATTTTTAAACAAATGTCATTGCTTTTAGAAAATTGCAAAAATTTGTTTATGAATGATAAACACCTGGACAAAAAGCTAGGAATAAATTAAGGTTTTTTTTTTTTTTTTTTTCTTCACTCAAGTGATACAGATATATAGCTACAGATAACTATTCTTTAAAAAGCAAACACAATTATACAGAGATAAATGTCAAATAATAATCTTTATCTGAGATTTTGAGGAAATATTGTATAAATTATTTGTACCTATATCCTTACCTTTTTGGTTTTCTCTCACAATTTTGGTAAAGTCGAAGAACATAATGTAGTTATCTTAATTTTATCAGTTAACTTAGTCTTTAATAGTTAAAGTAAACAATGAAATCTGAATATTTCAGCCCTGTCTAACCGTGAGGTTTCCATGATTGAATTAATTCATACACTGTCCATGTAAGACAAGCTTCTGAGATATGTGAGCTCATCTCAGCAGAAGTTTTTATTTCAAACTTCAATAAAAAAACAGAAATTTTGCTTTCATACTTTAAAGAATGACTGATGCAACAATCTTCCGATTCCTTTATGCTCTGGCCTTGTGCCATACTATGTTTTTTTTTTTTTTTGTGATGAAAAGCAAGACAAGATAAAGAAAAGACTAGTCGGAAATCATTGAAATATTTCATTGTAGAATTTCAATCAGGATGATTGATTTCTGTTATAAACCTAAATTCCACAAAACGGGTCAGCTTGTGACCATGTTGAATTCAGAAGTACTGCACTGACTGGTGGACAAGGGATGTACTCAATTGTATTTTGAGTTATTGTCCTTTATAGGGGAAGTAAGTTAGCATCCTCTAACAATTTCAAAATCTGAGTTTTATGGATGGGTTATTAGATTTTAGAGATGGAATCATCAACAGTTCCTCACTTCTTTTTGAAGCTGTATGTTTCCTGCTTCTGACTGACCTGTGTAGGTGTGTGTTTCCAATTTTAGAATGGCTGCCAGGGAATTACAGTATTACGACACAACAAAGGTTTGATGATGGCATGAAAATAAAGCCTTGAAAATAAACATTAACCCCTTGAAAAAAAAGAAAAAACTCATTTTTGCATTGCAATTTAAAACAAGTTTTTCTTTTTTTTTTTTTTTACTAAAAAGCATGAAATAATGTAAATATGATAAGTACTTTTTATTAATTTTTAACTTTTAATATTTAAAGGAATTCTGGTGGTTATGAAACTATAAATAACAGTTACCAAAGTTATATATATGAAATTGACTAGTGGATTTTGATATATATATATATATATATATATATATATATATATATATATATATATATAATATTATAGCTCTATTATTATATATTAGGCACTATTTTTTTTTTGTGTGCCACTCGATGTGCAATATATATATGACAAATCGATTGGAAAAAGTTTTTGTGATGCATTTCATCCATTTGGACTTCAGCGGACTGGGTTTGTTTATGTTGTTGTGACTACACATACCCATGAACAAGAGACACTGGAAGTTTCAAAATTTAGAAATAGTTTTTTTAATTTGGCATGTCATAACTTTTTTTCAAAATTTTTCTTGACATAAGAAATTATATATCTCTCACACACACACACAAACACACCCACATATATATATATATATATATATATATATATATATATATATATATATATGCAGCAATCCCTCTTTTATACAAGTTGCGTTAAAAACTACTACTAGTTGTATAAAAGAGGGATTGCTGTCCAAATAAATGATTATTAAATTACATGACCCGGCAGCCAACAAGGAAAGTAGTTGTTTTTAATGAAACTTATATATATATATATATAAGTTTTAGCCAGTCTGATTAGTCACATTGTGTAGATAGTTAATTTAGTATGTTATTTCTTGGCATGTGGCTGGGTGATTAGATTATTAGACCATGAAACTCTGAAACTCCAGAGTCAATTTTTTAAGGTGATGTTCTTGATGATAACGGCATTGGGGGGGGGGGTAATCTCAGCATGTGACACTGTTGGGAAGTTTCTGAAA